AATAACCATTGGTTCAGTTGTGATGACGTGCGTGTATTTGTGTGTGTGCCGAGCGCACGTAAAAACAAGAAAAACAAGGAGTGCATGTGTGTCATATGATTTTTCATGATACTTGGTGCTCGTAAACCAGGACTTGCTCGGTTACCAAGTCAAAATTTATTAAAAATCTTTGCTCGTCTTGTGGAACACTCGTAAACCGTAAATCCGAGGTTCCACTGTATATTAAACAAAATATTACTAAATATTTTTTGTCATGCCATTCTGATCTTTTCATTAAATCTGTTCTTCTGTTCCAAATCGCAATTAGGTGTTTTTAACTTCATTGTTTTCTGAGATCATAACTTTTTTCAAGGCTGCATTTGTATTGTGTTTCAGAGGCAGGCTATTTGCATAACGAATTGACAGAGAAAGCATTTCAAGTCCCATTCCAAAGTACCAAAAAGTACCCTAGCTGGTTTTGGTGTGGTACTTTTGGTACTGGAAGTTTTAGTACTGGTACTCAATTGGAAGTCGGTGGAAAAGGGAAAGTACCAAAAGTACCACACTAAAAGTACGGAACTTGGTCCATGCTAGCTGGAGCCGCATGTGCTAGCCGAGGCTGCAGGCTGGAGCTGTGTGAGTTAGTGGCTGTCCTTCTTGTACACAGGGCTGTGCAGTCAGTGAATGTTCCGGAGTCGACCTGCACTTTGCTGGTGTTATGAGCCCTTCTAGCTACCGAGCAGCTGAGCGCCACTTCACGGGGCTGATTTAATCGGCTGGCACGGCACCATGCTCACCCCGGTGTCCTCCGGTCTCCTAGAAACCTGCGGGTCTGCGCTGAAGCGGCGTGCTGTAAGCCTCATTAGCAGGGTAGCCATGTGCAGGTGGTCATTCACTCCCGCTTCTACCAAAAGAGGACAAAGGGTAGCCTCACATCACTGGCGTGACCCGGTGCTGGCTCGAATATCGAATGGCAGCCATGCTGCCCAGAATTAACCAGTCAGAATGAAGCTGGTAGACAAAAATATTAGTATGACATGGAACTGAGGTGTGATTATATCTTGCTTTTAAGTAGTACTCCCGGTATGACTGAAATTCCCTAGAAGAGGACAGTAGAGTTCCATAAACAGGAAAAATTAGTCTTCTAAAGTAGGCAGCAAAACATGCCTGACCTCTAGTGGACATTTGTGAATCTTTTTTTCCCCCATCGCATACAGTGTTAGATACCATTTTGTAGCAGAAGGATCACAATCTTTTGTTTTCCCACGTGAAGGATCGATGAGCTGGGATGGTATGTATCAGAAACAGGTGGGGGCATGTGGTGGGGGGTGTTGGTTGGGGGCTGGATGTCTGAGAACCTGAAAGTTGGTCCCTCCTGAGGTCCTGAGTGTACTTTTTTGATCACTCATGATTATGCTAATTTTACCAAGGGTTCCCCCCCCCCCCCGCCCCCGAAAAGTGTCTACATGACCCTGGATTTTGCTCCTTCACAGAGCAGGCTGTTTACATGAACGCTAGAATTCTTATATGACGTGTTCCTAATAAAAGCATAGACCCATCTATCCATGCACCTTTCAGCTGTTCACCCTGGTCAGGGTTATGGGAGTGGCTGAGATTAGTCTGAGCATTCCCACTGAGGTTGTGGAAGGTCATACCTCTGCTATTGGTCATTCTGTACTTGATACACAGATTCCCATATACCTACAGGTACATAATGTTCCAGTTAGTGGTGGGTGATATGACAGTAATTTACCATGCCCTGTTGAAATGGTATCCACGATAAGCGTTATCACAAGAATCGCAATACAGCATTGCTTAACACTATTAAGATAGATCATGATTCTAACCAGAAATAGCGTGATGTGACATTTTGGCTGTATTACCCACCCCCAGCTGTAATAGAGAGACATATTGAGTAAATCTCTGGAAATTAAAGATATAACATCTGAATATCTAAAAGCAATTGGTATCTTTACATAATGTATAAACTTGCTTTGGTAAGAATAAACAGTTAAAAAGCTTCTAAGTAAAGATGTACTAATTGGTGGAAAGGATTTTATTCCTCAATGGTTTGCCAGTGGGGATTTTGTATTAAAGTAGGATTCTTTATGTATTAGAATGTTAGTTACTGATGCTTTTCTATCCCACAGTGCTCCAGTCCAGCTCTGTTCAGCGGATTCTCTTCAGCAAGCTGTGGGAGGTTGTCTTCTCCTGGCATCAGACCCCCCCCGCCCTGCCCTCAGGCCCCTCACGCTTCCTCCTCTGCTCCACACACGCCATCCGCAACATGCGCCGAAAGATGGAGGACCGGCATGTGGCCCTTTCAGAATTCAACCAGATGTTTGGAATCCAGGTGAGGCTTCCCCGTCCACAGCCACAGGCGTTCACACTCCTGAATGTCTTGGTTGGGGTCCAGGGCACCATAAACAGCCAGCCCATGATAAGGCACATTAGCAAGCGCTTCTTTTACCTCTGACTGGCAGAGCGACGCTGGCTTCCACCTGGGAAAGCTTTTAATCACCCAGGGTGGGGGCTTAAGTCCAAGAGGCATTCAGCCAATTAAAAAGAGCTGAGATGATGAATGGTGGTAATAGCGTTACCCTTGTACAGGTGTGTTTCTGCATAATTGCTCTGGCAGGTCATATATATGCCCTGTAATGTACGATGCCTTCACTTATCACCCACTGGCTGTGCTTCCCGCAGGATGGGGTGGACCGCGGGTACTATGCGGTTTTTGATGGCCACGGTGGGGTTGATGCCGCCACCTTTGCCGCCACCCACCTGCATGTGCTGCTGGGCCAGCATGAGGCGCTAGCAAGCAACCCCACTGAGGCCCTCAGGAACTCCTTCAGCTGCACAGATGACATGTTCAAGGAGAAAGCTACTAGAGAGGTCAGAGGTCAAACTTTAACATTTGCACGTTTATTTAAACTGTAAAAGTTTCTCTTTTGGTGAAGCATCTGGGTTTCTCTTGTTTTTGCTGTAATCTTTAATGTGTGGTTGCGTGTATGTGTGTGTGTGTGTGTGTGTGTGTGTGTGTGCGCGCGTGCGTGTGTGCATACACGTGCAATTTCTGCAGCGCCTGCGCAGCGGCAGCACGGGTGTGGCAGTGCTCCTGGCGGGTGATTGGCTGCACGTGGCCTGGCTAGGGGACTCCCAGGCTATGCTGGTGCGGCAGGGTGACCCGGTCACGCTCATGGACCCCCACAAGCCAGAGCGCGAGGTAAGCACCTCAATGGCCACATTCAAGAGGAGGATGGGCGCATTCGTGTAGTTTCCTAGCTCCCCACTTTGATGTCCAACTTCTATCGGGCCACAGGACTCTTCCAGCACCTGTTTATCTTTTGATTTAGTTTCCTGCTGTTGGTTTGTCTCACCCACAGCTTTTTTTGAAAGCCCTGCATACTCGTCACATAGAGCCCTCTCTAGGCTATTGATTATGCGCAATGTACATCTGCACTGCAATTGTGGGTTTGAATGCTGTGTAGATGGAGGCGGGATAAACACTGTGGATATCTGTCAAACTGAGGAAGGAATGCAGCTGTTAAATGCTGACTCCCCTCCCCAAGGATGAGAAGCAAAGGATCGAAGACCTGGGAGGATGCATCACTTTCATGGGGTGCTGGAGAGTCAATGGCACTTATGCTGTTTCTCGGGCAATTGGTGAGTGACTCCAGCGATGTTGCCATGGGATACCATCCATCCCTGCACACCACCAGGCTTAGGACTGTGACGTGCTCTTAAAATGTCAAAACACCATTTTCTCCACAGCTCCATGACAACTGTAAGACATGGCAACCTGAGCCTATAACCTCCTCACTTCCTGTTTCCTGTCGCTTATCGTAATTCATCTTTCTTAATTGTAATTTCTGTAGCAGATAGTTTTAGCCAGAGAAACATTTGTTTTTGCTAATGCAGTCCAGGCTTAAGTAGATTGAAGGTTTCTAGCAAATTGATAGCAGTTCCTCTTCAAACCCGTGTCCTGTGCGCCAGGTGACTTTGATCAGAAGCCGTACATTTCCGGTGATGCGGACTGCGCCTCGCTGCAGTTGGATGGGCAGGAGGACTACGTGTTGCTGGCGTGCGACGGCTTCTTCGACACAGTACGGCCGGCTGATGTGCCAGGGCTGGTGCACGATGCGCTGTTGGAGGGTGCAGGTGAGGTCGATGCCGTCGCCCAACAACTGGTGGCGCAGGCCAAGGCGGCAGGCTCCAGCGACAACATCACCGTGCTGCTGGTGTTTTTGCGTGAGCCGGCGCTGCTGCTCCACGAGGCAGGACATCCCCCCAGACCGGCAGCCAGGCTTCCCCCAGACGGCACCCCTGCTCACCGGCAGGACGCAGAGGGGGGCCCAGTGCTGCCCTGAGCCGGTAGCTCAGCTTTGCAGTGTGTCAATCTGCTGGGTCCTTTCTTTCTTACACCTGTGCCAGTCAGTGATCCACACGTGCCCTCAGCAGCGGCCGGCCGGCCGGCCGGCGATCCACACGTGCCCTCAGCAGCGGCCGGCCGGCCGGCCGGCGATCCACACGTGCCCTCAGCTTTCTGACTGCATCGTGGACATAAATAGCGCCCTGCCAAACTCAGCCAAACAAGTTCTGCTCTAGCTGCCTGTCTTTTGTCAGATGGTGCATTATTTGGGTCACTGTTACACTCAAAGGCCTGGTTTCACCCTCATGTTCGGATGCCTGTGTGTGTCTGTGTCTTCCTGAAATCTGCTCCGTGTCGCCTTCATACTTGATACGTATCTTATCGTATCGTGTTTACATGTGTGTATGTGTGTGTATATCCAGCAGTACGTGTGTGTGTGTTTGCATCATTGATGTATGTAGTCATTCTTCTGTGCTGTGAAAAAGCTCCCTTCCCCATCAATACAGGACACAACAAACCAGCTGCAAAACAAAATGAATATTTTGGCCAAGTTTTCATGTCTGCTATTGTTGTGCTCCCCAGTATTGCCGGTTGGTTAGACTCACCAAAGACTGCTTTACTGCTGAGGATATGCCTTATGACTGAGGCCCACAGGTATCTTCAGCTGGGGCTTTGGGTATTACTGTATTACAAATGTCATTAATAATTTAAACCCTGCTGGCAAATGGCTGTTATATGATGTCACTGGGCTATCAATAGAAGACCAAAGCATATTGGATAAAAGCTAAGAAGAACAGTGAGTGCTGGAGTCAAATGACCCGCCTCAGATTATCAGACAGGCAGTCTCCTCCAAATCTCCCCTGGCTTTTGGATTGACTGTAAACGGCAGCCAATCGCAGCAGCTATTGGGAGAGATTTGATCATGAGTGGATAAGAGATTGTACTGTTAATGAAGGGCTGGTTAATGGATGGGACACCAGTTAAGAGTGAAATTAAGATTACTCAAAGATGAATCCAATCTCCAGTAAGGGTGTAATGTATCTTGGGGGTTAGTTGCTTAGCGCATATGCGGCAAAATATTTTATCTGTAAATCCACACTGTAAAGCCTGCAAATGATTTAATCTGACAATGAACGTAACTCATATTTGACTTGACTTCCCCACAATGCAGTATGACTGCTGGGAAATGTTAGAACAGTTTATCGCAAACTCTGGCGCTTTCTCTTTGAGATTATCAATATCTGATAACACTTTGTGTGTCTGTGTCTGTGGGGGTGTGTGTTTGCGACTCAAATGCTGCATCATGAAACCTGAAGTCAGTTTTGTACCAAAGACAAACATTTAGTTCAGCACACTACGCCACCAAGTTTTTGAATTACTAATCTGTTTTGCTGTGTGTAAAACTACTGGCTGCAGCGACAACAGTATGTTTTTGCTTAAGCAGCATTTGAAGACGTGAATGAGCAGCCTAGCAGTGTTACACCGGGGTGTTCAAGCATAGTTACAGCTGCCAGTAGTAGCGCTATTCTGTTAAGCCATTTAATTGATGACATAAATTGTCAGATATTCCATATCAAACAATAAAATGAGGTTTAGTATTACATGTGGTGCTAGTTTGAAATGAATTCTGGGGAGACATACAACAATCTCTGCATAGTTTCAGAAATGTTCTGGAAAGCAGCTTCTGCGTTCTCTGTTCAGGATGACTGTTCATCTTGCAGCATGAAAGTCTTTTCTGAGTAGGTTGTGAAATTTTGTATTATTCAGTATTAAACTCTGCTATTTGTCCTCGTGTTTTGTGTTCAGTAAATTACATGTATTGTTCATATGGCTGTTTGTAAACTAGTTTTTAAAGCACTGTTTTTAAATAGTGGGAGAGGTAACATTTTTATATTGAAATATACAGTATTTCTGCAGCTGATTTTGTATTTGGCCCTTATACTTCATTTAAACAATTCATGATGGTAGATGCCATCTTATAGAGATTACTTTGTAAGTGCCTTACCCAGTTAATACTTGTCAGTGTCACCATGGCATTTAGTGTAAGAGTAAGGAAACTGTGAAGGACATTTTCACAAATGTCACATCAAAAATCTGTTCAACTCTGCTGAGATGAATCAGACTTTAGGTTGACTTTTTGCTTTTCTTTGGAGTTGGGTTTCAATATTAAATGTCTTATACAGTGTTTATTAGTTGTAAGTGCTGTAATTGTAAGGTAAACAAGTCCCTATGTAAGTATGTGTGTTATCCACTGTTGACTGTGTTGATCAGTATTTGTGGTACATTCAGTATTACTTTTAAGAGCATTTATGAAACTACTCTGCTGTCTACCCGCTACTGTATGTTTATTCTTAACACACATAATAAAACTTAAAAGTAAAACTAACTTCACAGGGTACAATTTGATTTCTGCCTTTGCCTTAGTTCTTAGGACAGCTTCGTTTTAGAAACTTGCATTAAATGCTTCCTAATCACAGTCACAATTGCTGTTCTCCATGTGGAAACATTTTCTTGTGATTTAGAATGCCTGAAATACCCATCATGCACTTGCCTATTGCTGAGAGACATGCTTACACACACCTGGTCCTTTGCTGGTATGATTTTAACATTTGCATGAGATTTTTTATGGGTTCCTGGCCAGTATTACACTAGGCCATGGAATACTTGGGGTTGTGATTTCTAATTTCTCATATGTGATGTATATTGAAGTGTTTACACATTGTTTGCATCTGAAAAAAATGTAAAGGGTGACACTGCCAATCAACCGTACCGCACCCCCCACCCCTCCCTTTGGGACACTTAATGATGTAGGAATGGCATAAAGGGCACTTAATAATGGTACCCTTTTCCTCAGGAAAGGCACCGATAAGGTGCGATTTCCCAGCTGGAACGCACCTTAATCAGCTAATTACCAGCTTTATTTACCAGATATGTTTCAGCAGGAAAATCTGCAAACTATGCTGGATTCTGGTCCCCCAGGACCATAATTGAGCAGCCCTGGCTTAGACCATTGTAAGGGCCCTTCATAACAGCATCCGTTTCCATTAGAAGGATGCCAATAGGGACCTCTTAGGCCATTGTAAGGGCACCCTATAGGGCACTGCATCACATTCTCTCCACTAGAAGGGCTCTCATTAAGACACTATCACATTTTCTTGGGTACATCATGTATCTCACAAGAATGGGACACCCTAGGCGGCACTCGATTATTTTTTTTCCATGTGAAGGGCAATCAATAGTGGTATTTTTGCCATTCATGAGGGTACTTTAGCAATGTTTTTTCAACCTTGGAGGCACTGGGGGGGCGGGGCTGGGGGATGGTTGCACCCTCCTGAGTGCACCAGTGTGACTGAAAAAATCTATAAAAAAAAACCTCTTCAGTGGTAAGGGCCGACATGCCTCTTCAACATTGCGTGGAGATTGGGGATAGTACTTTTGGATTGAGACCACCACCCCAGTCTGCCAATCCTTAAGAAAGGGAACTGGAGAGTGTGTTCCAACTTCAGGAGCCTGTTGGTTGAACCTCAGATTTAGGAAGAGCAATGCCGATTCTGTCATGGCCGCGGAACACTGGACCAGCTTTTTACCCTCACAAGGATACTGGAGGGTTCATGGGAGTCTGTCCAACTTGAAAGGCATGTAACCATGTCCCTCATGGTGTCCTGTGGGGGCTGCTTCGGGAGAATGGGATACGGGGTCTGTTGTTGAGGGCCATCAGATCCCTTTACAATGGAGCAAGAGCTTGGTTTGCATTGCCAGCAATAAGTCAGACTCGTGTTAGGCTGCCCTTTGTCACCGGTTCTGTTCATAACTTTTGTGGACAGAATTTCTAGGCATTTCCAAGGGGCAGAAGGGGTCTGGTTTGGGGGCCTCGGGATTGTTTCTTTTGGTGGATGATGTGGTCCTGTTGTCTTCGTCGAGCAGTGACCTCCAGTGTGCACTGGACTGGTTTGCAGCTGAGTATCAGGCAGCTGGGTTGAGGATCAGCATCTTCAAATCTGAGACTGTGATTCTCAACTGGAAAACGCTGGATTGCCCTCTCCTGGTGTGAGATGAGTTACTGCCTCAAGTTTAAGGAGGAGTTGAAGTATCTCGGGTCCTGTTCATGAGTGACAGAAAAATGTAGCAGGAAATCGACAGCAGGATCAGTGCAGCATCACCATCACCAAGGTTCCATCTTGCTAGCACCAGGTTGGACCCCCAACCTGCCTTCAGAACTGCCTTAATTCTCTGTGGCATAGATTCAACAAGGTGCTTGGAACATTCCTCAGAGACATTAGTCCATGTTGACATGACAGCATCAAGTAGATGCTGCAGATATTGTTGGCTGCACCTTCATGATGTGCTGTATTGCTTTGAGATCTGTTAACTGGAGGCAATTTGAGCCCAATGACCTCATTGTCATGTTCAAGAAACCAGGCTACTGGAAGTAGCCATTAGAAGCTGGGTACACTGTGGTCATAAAGGGATGGACATGGTCAGCTACTATACTCAGGTAGGCTGTAGTATTTAAATGATGCTCAGTTGGTACTAAAGGGCCCAACATGTGCCAAATGCAGTGAAAAGGAAGTAGATCAGCAGTTTCTGAAATACTCATACCAGCTTGTCTGGGACCAACAACCATGTCATTAAAAGTCACATTTACTTTCTTCCCAATCTAGTGTATGATGTGAATATTAATTGTGCTGCTGACATATTATTGGCTGATTATATATTTTCTTCAACAAGCAGTAGTACAGGTGTACCTAATTAGTGTATCTTTTGGCTGGCCTGGAAATGCCTTGGTATCTCCACAGAGGAGCTGGAGGAGATGGCTTGGGGAGAGGGAGGCAACCATGCCCCCACGGGCCGCTGCCCCCACGGGCCGCTGCCCCCACGGGCCGCTGCCCCCACGGGCCGCTGCCCCCACGGGCCGCTGCCCCCACGGGCCGCTGCCCCCGGTAAGTGGCAGAAAATGGATGGATGCTATATGCTAAGCAAGAACAAAAGCAAGGTCCTGGAGTTTAGCTGCTCTGTTACAGGTGTTTATATATTCACTGCTTGTTTTTCTGCTTACCTGCTTTCCAGTCACTCAGACATACTAAAAACAAAAACAAAAAACGTTTTGCTTAGTTATCTGTTGGTTACTGCTGAAAATGTTTGATATTTTGATTCCTTAAAGAATTTTTTCAGGGAGGGGGGGGTCTGTTTAATTTTGTATTTACTGAGTACCAGGCTAAAATATTCAGACTAAAGTGAAATTATTATTATAAAAATGTTTTTCTTAGATACAGGGTACACTTTTTCTTAACTTCATTTTGATGGTTTTTAAGTTATAAACCACTAAGAAGATTAAACGTTCAAGGAGAATAAGTTAGACCCCAAACCACCACACCTGTGTTTCATTGAATAACTATTTCAGATGTGCATAAATTATAAGCTTTTAGAGAAAAGTAAGAGAAAACAGTGTTTTATTGGTGCCAATTACAACATGGTCTCATGTAGGTTACCGTGGCAACAACAGAACATGTATTTATCAAAAAAGTTCTACTGTAGCCATTTGAAATGTATACTGTGTACTTGTATAATGATATGAATATACAAGGATGCAATTACCAGATGAAAGAGTTATAAAGGAAACATTCTGTGTGAGATTTACTATGAATACATTGGTTGACACTTTATTCTCATTTTATTACATAACGCTGCTTTTTAGCATAAAATGATATTTTATTAGCATTCCTTGTCAAGAATAAAAAGAAGCAGAAATGAGACTGACAGTCATATCTGGCAACCAGTGAACATCCCAGCAGAAAGGAGTTGTGTGTTTGAGCCATATACTTCTTTCAGCAAAACTGTGCAAGCAGATAGCGCCATGCTAATATGCTGCATGACAACAGCACATCACATTAACAGGGAAGGTGTTTTACAAAAAAGCCACACTTGGCAGAAATACTGTCGTAATGACCAAGGCTTTTACTGACATCACACAAAAAGTTAGAAGGTGTTTCAACTTGAAAATGCACTTTGTCCCCCCCTACTGTGATATACAGGGGGTGGACAAAACACCAGAAACAGGTCAGTATATACATATCAATTGGCAAAGAATGGCTTCTGCCAGCCTTTCCCTTCAGTGCTTCAGTTTTTCTTGGAATGTTGTCATAAGAGACAGAGACTGCATGTAGATGGATGATGAGGCTTCCATTTGTGAGGGATGAATGAGGTGGACGTCTACTCTGTGCTCCATAACTTACCCTAAGGGTCCATCCATCCATCCATCCTCCAGCTGCTTATCCTGGCTTGGGTTGGGGGTGGTGGCAGTGGCACAGGAGCCTGTCAAAGACCTTTCCAGGGCTTAGGTACCCCATGGATAGGATGCCAGTCCAACGCCAGTCACATGCCCATATAATCATACATGATGGACAATTGAGAGACATCAAACAGCATAACAGCACATCTATGGACTGCAGAAACCCATGTGACACAAGGAGAATATGCAGTGCTGGTGCGGGATTATGGTCATCAATTTCTCCATGCTAAGTTTTGACAGTACAAGTGTGTGATGTATGAGATGAACAAATCAATGGCATGTTTGTAAACTGGGGATAAATTCCTGTAGTTGACAAATTTGGGATTAGATGATACAATCATCCTATGACAGTGTACTGGACAAGTGCATAAGGAAATCAGATGGCTTCATGGATGGATGATTCAAGAATTTATTCATTTATGTTACAAAAGACGTTAAGTAACGTCAAAAAGTGGTTCTAAACTGCATAGAGTAATTAATTTGTAATTAATTTAATACTGAAAAAAAATCATAAACGGTTAATTATCAAGGACACATTTCACAGCATAGAGAAGAAATGAAAGCGACCATGTAACCATGGTTTCAGTGACAGTTGCTAACAGTTATCAGATATACAGATTATATCTGTATATACCATTACGTTCTTGCTACCATTACCAAAAAAATCAAAATACATAATCTTCCAAATTATGCTTTGATTTTTTTTTCTAAATTCTTAAATGCGGCACACAAAAAAAAAACATTTTTTGGTAACGACAAGTTTGTTTATTCGGAACAGAGATCAGATAGAAACATTTTGGACCAAGGTCTTCCTCAGCCTGATTACAGCGTTCCTTGATATTCTCTGCTTCAAATAAATAATATGTGTCTCTGCACTTAACCATTAAACATACAGAGTAAAATATCCACTTGTTTCCAATTTTAAATTTCCTGATTAAACAACATTTTCTCCCCACCATTTACAAATAAAAGTAAGACATAGTGCACAGGAATAAAAATGACAGAAAGTTACAAACAAAATGTTACAAACAAAATAAATCGATAAATATTTAATGATAAAATTTTGTACTCAAAAATAAAATCCTAGAAGGAATTCCGGTAAAATTTCCAACAACCCACAGTTAACAGTTGTATTACCTGTGATGCAGATCAGGTTCACTTATTGCAAATTTAATCTTCTTCATAGTAATTAGAGTCGTCTACATACGTGTCCAGTCAATAAATATAGCACTACTGGGAGATAAAAGCAACTACTTCCAGGCATCACTTACCTGCACGGTACTCGAAATGCGACTCATTTCTGGCAGCGAAACGGTACGGCGCGAGTGAACGTAACGTAGGCGTGAGGCCCGCCCTATCACGTGACTGGGCGTCCTATGCATCACGTGACAACCACCGCTATTTCCTGCAGTATCACTGGCCGCCGTGCCTGCCGCAGTCTGCGGATGTGCTGCTCCGGACCAGCTGGGAAGTGAACCTTCGTGCGTCCGCCTACTCCCCCCCTCCCCTTTTCCATAGTTTTAGGCGTTGAGCAGGCTTGAGAGTTTCAGCCGACTTTTCCGCCGGAGCTGCTTTCTTCGATACCTTCGTTTAGCCACAGCTTTATTTAATTTAGCCTTTAGCACATTCGTGCGAGTAGCCCGTTTTCACAATGGCGACAGCTGCGGTATCGGCTCCTGCTGGTGACGCCTCCAACCCGGGATCGGGTGCCGAGCTGGTCCGCGGGCAGGTCTTCGATGTCGGTCCCCGTTACAGCAACCTGTCGTACATCGGCGAGGGCGCCTACGGCATGGTGTGGTAAGTTACTGATCCAGTATTTGTACTACGAAACAAGATGATCGGAGTAGTTTCAATGAAGCATTGGCTCTGAACTTAAAGATGCCTGCAATCCCAGATCGCCATGTAGTTCAACGCTGAGTAGTTGCCCCGCCGCCCGTGTGTCCTTCCGCTGGTTACTTTGTAGTCTCCTGCTTACTTGTTGATCGCCATTGGAGACGCTTGACATTTGAACTAGTTAAACAGCGCAGTTTCTCCGCATATAGATGAATCCTCTTGCTTACGTGTAACATCCTTGTCTTGTTTTTAGTCTTCACGCGGCTTGCTCGTCGCTGGGTGGAGGGATTTTTGTCCCTCATGGGGGCGTGTTAAAGTAATCAGGGAATTAGCTACAGTTAAAAAAATACATTTGCTCTGTAAGGTCGAAACGCATTGCAGGTAAACTGCTTGTATCTGCTCTCGGATCATGTAAAGACAGAACACGGTGTCATTGATACGTGTTGCGTTTCAGAAGCGAGTTTGTGCTTGTCCTAATGACACTTAAAACGTTTAATTAATGAGTGATCGAGCCAGGGTGCGTTTCCAAGCATACCCATCTTAGTACCGGTCATCGAGTATACATTTAGTACTACAGGTAATTCATTACAAACACAAAGGCTGGGAAACCTTTTTTTAAAAATTCATTGTTATCTTAATTAGAAAAAAACAGGCCCTGTGGCAGTGTGAGCGGGATGATGCCCAGTGCCGGGGGCGTGGGTGCTGAGAGCAGGGCTTGCGAAGGACTTTGCGGAGCCATCAGACACACCGCACGTGCGATCACATCCAGGCATTAAACGCACCGAACATGCGATCGCGGCATTTGCACCGAATGTCTGTTTGATTTTAACTTATCTGCTCAGCCGCCATGATTCTGCTTGTTAATTTATTACATTACTATACGAGTGAAAATACTAAATGCCATCACTGGAATTGTACGCTTCATGTTTTTCGTGGATGTGGAAACGCCTTTGGGTTTCTCATTCTGGCAGGTCCTCTGTAAAATATCCATGATTCATTTTAAGCATTACTGTTAGCAGAAAATGTTGCTTTTAACCGAACTGCACCTTGAATGGAATCTTTCAATATTCTTTTTGCCTACATGTTAAGTGCTAGTATTTCTAAGGTTTCGTTTCTGTGTTTTTAAAATGAGAACATGACATGTATATCGCCTTAATTTCCATCTCTAATAAGAGGTTTGTTAAAGATCTTTGATGTTGCAGTGACGTGTGTACCAAGAAATGGCTGTCCCTGTCAAGTAGGCACAACGACCAGAGCTTTGAATGACTTTAAAGTGATCTTTGTATATTTATTTATTGCGCTTTACTTGGATTATATTAATTGCAAACAATGGAGGAGAATTCCGTCTAGAAATATTAAAGCTAATATTAATGTTTCCTATTTGCCTTCCACTGGGGAAATGTCATATTGCGTATACCTGGAAAAAAACAGCAGTTTTTATGAGAAGTGTCACCTTCAGTCATTTTGGGATGCATCCACCCTGATTCGTGGGATATCGGTTCAGAACAGAAATTGTGCAGTTTGTGCACTGCATGTGTTAAGTCTTTGCTGGTCCTTTCCATTTTTTTAAATCCTGGATTTCCAGTGAATCATCTGGTGTTAGATGATAGTAAAATGCTCCATACTGTCATGCTAACAACAATGTGTTCAGTCTGGTGGAAATGTACAATTCATACATAAATTAAACAATTGATAATTTACTGCTGTTTATGCATTTTGTGTGCCTTTTGAACCGGCTCTCTTAGGCCTAGATTTTGAAAAGATTTCACTGGTCTTTGTTTTTGGCCATTTGCTTTGTTACTGGCCGTTTCTATGGGAAATCACAACACATCATTATTATAGACTGATATAGGCTGCATACTATTGTGAACATGCATGTATAGTTTAATTCGCAAATTTAAGCCCTGTATTTTACGGTAATACTTTATATGTGCTGGTTTCTGTAGGCGTCTTAAATAGATGATTTTTACAGTTCCCGGAGTGCTGAGCTGAGCATCACATTAATCTGTTTTACCTGAGATCTCATTGTCGTTATCCACAATATGGCAGGTAGGGGGCTTTGATATATCTTAAAAAGTTGTGCCTTGAGTGGGCTTATTCATTTGTAAGTGGTGTCTGCAGCACAGCCGGTGTTTGGAGTGTTTAACAACCGAGAGTGTCAGTTTTAACGCTGCTGGCTTGGTCACAAGGACACCGCATTATCGAAAGTCACTGCAAACTGTTGGCAAGTTATGAAATGTTTTCAGCAGTCCTGGGCCGACCGCGGGGAAACTTTAACTGCTGATTTGCTTGATACCAGCATGTAAGTCTGCCTGGCGCTCGATTGCTCCACTGCTTCGGAGTGTGAAAAACATTTTTTCTGTTGCAAAGTACTGTAACGCCCACTCAGCATAAGCACACACGGTTCTAGACTGAAGGCTGCATATAGATTTGGTATGGAAATTTCACAGCTCCTGGTGCAAGATTTTAGCCTGGTGTGCTACAGATTCCTGGATGTTATTGATTACATAGACAGTTGTATATAATATTTAACATACAAAAGAAAATGCTAAGACTATAATGATTTAAAACCCCTTTTACTCTCAGTAAATCCCCTTCCTCTTACCAGAGTGGAAAATGGTTTCTGTACTTGGTTGCTAAGATGTTGTTCCTTATCAGTATTTCTGAATGGCTCTTAAAGGATGTTTGTGGAGAGAGCTTTGTCCGTGCTCTGATTATTGTCAATCGCATTTATAGAGTTTGCGATTATGCTGCATTTTAAGGTCAAGGCCAGGGTCTGGCTCTTGCTCGATGAGGTAATGGTTTGTTTAGGTGCATGATAGGTAAACGGTTGTCCTTATTTGTTCATTATGATATTTTGAAGTTCAGTGTCTGTAATAAAATTTCTGTTTTTGTGTTAGGCTCTATTTTTCCTAAACAAAGAATACCCAGCTTCCACTGTGTAGAGGATCATGCACGACTAGGTGAATGTGTGTATCATTAAACTACCCAGATGTGATTTAAAAGCTTACAGAGGGCCGTGCTTGTCTGTCACCCCGTTACGCTGCAGCCCACTTAACGTTAAAGTGAGCGCGGCTGCACAGCTCCTGCGCGTGTAGCCCGTCTGTGTCCTCGCATTTCTGCTGTCCGCGGGCGGGGACTGTTCATTCAGAAATCTCTCATTTGCGTCGGCGCGGGAGCCCGTGTCGCGCTCCATCTGTTCCCGTGGACGGCGCTCTCCAGTATGTGTGTCGGGTTGGGGGTGGGGTGGGGGGTGATCTCATCCCTGGCTCTAACGCCACGGCTCTCACATGGCCGCTGAATGGCTGAGTGCACTGAAGGGGGAGCAGATTCGCCGTGGGACCCGGCTGCTCGCCATCAGCTGTAATCTCCCAGCGGGGGTTTCGGTTGCGTTGGGCCTGATTCCTTTACATTGCGCACTGGACTTTTTTTCTCCTGAGTATTCCTCAGCCAGTAAGCAGCGGTGATGATGAAGGAAAATGAAAACCTGGCTCTGCCTGTTTCTGCGGCTGCTCTAGGTAAATGGATTAAGCCAAGGATATCAGTCTTTGAGATAGGCTGGCTCCCCAAGCTATTGCCCCCATTTAGCCCGAATGTCATAGACCCCCCCCCCCCCCCCCCCCCCGACAAAAAGGCAAAATCTATAGCTGCCTGTGTGAGGGACAGCGATGGAATGTGGCATATTTTTCTCTGAATGGTTGTGTAGGTGATACTGGCTGTGAGGTAATACGACAGTGTGCTCTGTTAGCCTTTGAGAGGGACTTTAGTGTGAGTCCTGGCACTTTGCTCCACTGAATCGATTGTCTGTCGTTTTTCTTTTCATTCTCACCTTCCCCCATCAGCTGTGCTCAGCACCTGTCGGGGAGCCGCCTGGTGTTCTGCAAGGTGGATTCTGCTCAGAGTTCCTTTTTGGGCCGGGGAAGCAGGCCCAGTGTTTCAGATCTGCTCAGCAGCGAGGACCTTTGGCAGAACGTCGCCTTTTCCGGCTCGCTTTACAATCTCCCACCTCACTGAGCAAAAGTGCACCCCCGCCCCCCCAACCTCGCTCCCTAAAAGAAAACCATTCTCTTCTTTTAGCAATTAGCCGGTGTTTGTTTTGCGTCCTGAGTCTGTTCTCCTCAGGGCCCAGCTTGGGTGTTGAGGCCTTGTGCCGCGGTGATGCCATGATGCAGGAATGCAGACGCGTCGCAGAGGAGTTTCCATTTAAGACCCCGAGCTACAGCATAGGTTTGTTTTAAAAATAAATGCACCTAAAGTGCAGTGTAATGTTACCGCTGCTGAACACTCTCCGTCTTGAGGCCCTGCCGGCAGACCGGGCGTCAGGTTTCGTGTAGCAGGTACCCTGATGGTCTGCCATTAGCTTTATAATCCTGAGTTTTTGGACTCGTCCCTGGCTCTGGATGTGGTCAGCATTGTGACTCTGCCCTGAGCAGCTAAAGGAGGCCCGACTATCGCATGTGTTCATTCACATCTGCTGGATGTCACAAAGAAAATCAGATTAGCTCCTGCGCTCTTGAGGTCCAGTGTGTCTCAGCATGGTAGACATTTAGTGGTAAGGTTTGGGTGTGCTGTATTCACTGTATATATCTACAGTATATCACAGTATATATTTTAATATTAATGATAGTCATGGAAACTCCTTTATCCTTTTGGAGATTAAATAAAGGGGAAATCCCTGGGTAGTATGTTGGGGGGGGAGCCTCTGCAGCCCTATTGATCAGAGGAGCAGTAGTGATGTCATTGACTTTGTCATGTGATGGTCGCTCAGCCTTTACCCATCACCCTGCTCTTTTACTTGGTTTGTGTTCAGGTAAACTTCCCTACCCTCCATGATCTCCATGGTTACAGTGGTCCTGTGATGTGGGTTTGTGCTCGTTTTGGCTCCGCCTCTAGCACCACAGAGTGAGGCCCCCTGGGGGGGGGGGCTGCAGGAGTTACAGGAGGCTCATCGTTTCCCTTTTTCA